CACCAAGGTGAGTCAGGAGCAGGAGGCCAGATGATGGGGGGGAAGAGGAGACCATCTCCACCAACCCACCCGGGGGGGCACAGCCCTGCAGCCCCAGCCCGGGATGCTGCGCTGTGCGGCCCCAAGTCCACCAAAGGCTCCCAGCGTCTCCTTCACCATTCCTGGGGGAACCCCTGACTCCATAAACCCGGCTCCAAGTGCTGGAGGCTGGCTGCTGGGAGCGGGCAGATAGGAAACACAGAGCCTCCTGCTTCTTCCACTGCCTCTGGAGAGGAAGAAGAGGGACCCAGCAGAGTCCACACCCCAGATCCCAACGGGGACAGGGAACGGAATGGCAAAGTGACATGAATTCAAAATGCAACAGCTACGCTCTCCTGGGACCCGCCAAGCACCGGCTCTGCTCCCGGAGCCGTCCCTTCCCGGGGGACAAGCGGCACCCTCGGGGCTACACGCTGCACAGCGGGCCCAGCTCCCCCTCGAGCTTTTCTGGCTCCCTCTGCGGTGACCCCGAAGACAAACTGCCCGAGCACTGAGGTCAGCGCTGCGATATTTATAGAGGGCTTGTGCGAGCTGTGCCGCTGCCACCACCAGACTGCCGGCTAGGCGCCGGTGCTACCGAGGAGCGGGGCCGAAACCACACGGCGCTTGCCGGCTGCCTTTGCAGCACCCCCTGCATGGCTTCAGCAGCAGCTGGAAACTCAGCTCGGACCATCCCACTCTGGCAGCACGAGCAGAAAGGGCTTAACTGGCGCCGAGCGGGGACAGGAGCAACCTGCCCCCCCTCCCTGCTCACGCAGTTGGGGTTTGCACCCGAGCAGCAACCCTGCCCTCGCCCTTGCTGGAGGAGAGGGTCCCCAAAAGCTGGCGGCGTGGGGCCGGGCTCAGCCTGCGCCCCACTTTGGGCAGAGCCCCCCCCCCCGGTGCTGGCAGCACGGCAAGACCCGGCCCCACAAACGGGCCCGAAGCAGCCGTGCCCGTGTATCTCCCCTCCGAAACGCGGCGCCCGGCGCTGTCAGCCGCTGGGCTAAGGTGGGGGGGGGGGGGGGGGGGCAGGGGAGGGAAATATGTTTGCAAACAAGAAGTGAAACCGCTCCGCTCTGCTGCGCAGCTCATCATCTCCGCGGGGGCAGCGCCAGCTGTGGAAGGAGGGTTTTTAAAGGGCGTGCAGCCGGCCGGGAGCGGAGAGCGACCGCAGAGATGCCAGCCACAGCCAAGCACCCAGGACTGGGTGCGCTGCCCCGACCCTGCTACGATCAGTCCATAGCTGGAGGCTCTCTGGCTCCATTTCCCTTCCTCCCCAAGCTCTCTCCCCTGCTTTGCCCCCTCCCCTCCTCCTCTCAGCCCGCTTTCTCTCTTCTTCCCTCCTGCGGAGCTTTATTTTCCTTTCTCTCGCTATTTGCCACCTTGCAACTGGAAACCGCCTGTACTTCCCCATTGCAAACAAGTTCCTCAGCACCTTCCTGCCCTTGCAGAAAGGCAGTTGCAACACCAGCCCCGACGAACGCGAGGCTTTTGCAAGACCAATTCCTGTCACTCATGCACGGAAACTCCGGCAGACCTGGGGAGCTTTGCCCCCTCCAGCAGCTCTAAAAAGCTGTGTGAGGCGCAGGGCCTGAGAAGGGCTGTGCACAGACCCCCTGCTCCCTCCTCGAGGCCAAGCAGGGGGAAGGCTGGTTCCTGCCTTCCAGTTCCTCACATGGAGTTTGTCCTGAAGACAGTCCCAGATTTAGTCCTGGAGAATCTAAACCCGCCCTGGGGACCCTTGGTGGCTTCCTCTGCTCTGAAGAGGAGGGAAGGATGCGACACTGTGGGGTCCGAGTCATCCCCTTCATCCGTTCCCTCCTGCAACTGCCGGTTCCAGGGCTGGAGGTAACAAAGGTGAATATAAAAAGCCCCCCCCCCCCAACAGAAACAGAGCCAGAATCCAACCCCAAGATGCCGTGACCCGCAAGAAAAGATCACTCGTGCCCTGACCTAAAACAGCCCCGTGAGCCTCTGGTTTGCCCAACTTCTCCCTGCTCCTGCTGAGGCCAGCAGTTCCCGCGGGCTGCTCGGCTCGGGGCGAGGGGGATGTGGTGGTGGCCCTGCCACCCCTCCGTGCCGAGCCCAGCCCCGCAGAGCCCTGCTGCTGCTGCCAGCCTTGGGACCCAAACAGCAGGACGAACCCCAGGAGACCCTGCCCGGCCCGGAGCAGCCGTGGCCCCGTGGGAGTGATTCACAGCCGGAGCCCAGCTCGCGCATCACGAGACACCGACGGAGCGACAAGAGCTGCCCGGTGACGATAAGGGCGAGCGCCCGCTTTATCGGAGGACGGCACCCGCGGCCGCGTGTCGAGCCCTCGGCCCGCTGCACCCAGGCACATCCAACCCGGCGGCCGTGCCACCACCCCGCAGTGCTTTCTTTTTTGGAGGAGCTCACCCGTCGCCCTCGCTCCCCGGGCAACAGCTCCATCTGCCGACACGCGGCCCCGCGGGGAGCTGGTGCAGGGGACACCGCGCTCCCGGGCAGGGGCGGGCGAGCCCCAGCTTCAGGGAGACACCCAGCTTTGGGGGGGACCGGGCACCCCTGCGAGCAGCTCCCCTCCCTCAGCAGGTCCTCTCCAGGATCGGAGGAGGAAGCCGTGTCGGGCAGTCGCACCTTTGACCAGGGCATCACCGTGTGCCCCCCCCCAGCCCTTCCACCCAGGGCTGTGCCGTGGTCCACGCGTCCCCAGAGGGGACAAATGCTCCTTCGCTGGGCTTGGGCACGTGCACCAGGACACAGAAGCACCCCAGCACGGCTCGAGCATCGGGGAGAGGGTAACGAGGACAAGCTGCCACCTCGCCCACTGAGGCGCACAGCTGCGGTTCGGCAGCGGCTCCCAGCCCAAGTGATTCCTGGGTGGGGGAACGGGGCGGGGGGCTGGTTTGCTGCGCCCCTCATCCCGTGCCCTGAACAAGCCACCCAGCAGCACCGGAGCAGGAGATGCTCCAGTGCCGATGGGTGCACAGCACCAGTGACACCCAGCCCACAGGCTCTGTGGGTGCAGGCAGCTCCCCTGGCAAGGCCACCACCCCACTGCAGCTCCACGGACGTGCAGACCCACGGGACGTGCTCCGGACAGCCATGCCAGCACCTCCTGCAGCTCCTCGGCGGGTGATGCGGCAGAGGAGGGACAACCTGCCTGCAGAAGCGCTGCCAGACAAGCAGCAGGGCACACCGGGTGAAAACACCGCCGGCGGGACTTGCCTCATGGCATTCCCCAGCATGAAACTGGGAGAAACCCTCCCAAATCACCTGGCAGAGAAAAGCCAGGCGTTTAGAGGCAGGCTGCTCACCTCCCTGACGCGATCCTCCGGCTCCTGTGCCATGATGGGTCAGGGACACATTACGCCACAGCTCGGTGCCTGCAGTCCCTGCCACACGCAGCGACACGTGCCCATCACCACCAGGCTCAGCCCAGGGAACAGCTGCCCTGCCCAGCTCACAGCCAGCATCTGGGTTTTTGGTGTGGTTTGTTTGTTTTTTTTTGTTTTTTTTGTTTTTTTTGGCTAACATGCTGCAATCAAAGCACCTGGGCTCGCTGCAATGCTACTGTCTGCAAAGGTGCAACGCCTGCAGATACGAGCTCCCCGGGAGCCCATGTCTGAGGTGCAGTGCTGGGGGAGGAGATGCAGCGGCTTGGCATTCTCAGAAAACAAACAAACAAACCAAAACAAAACAATCAAAAAAACCCCAAACCAACCAACAACAACAACAAAAAAAAAATCAAGGCGGCAAAAAAAGATGAAATAAAGGAATCCTCAGGAGAGCTGCCAAGGAGTGACTGCTGAGCTCCCATTATCCCCGTATCACCGGAGGCAACGGATCACTTCCCAGTGAGAGGGGAACCCCAGGATCTCCAAAAGCCCCTTTCACAGGGAATCTTGCAGCCAAACAGCTGCTGGCAGCAGGCTTTCCCAGGTCTCTGAACCACAGCAGCAAGGGGACGGGCTCGGCGAATTGCCGGAAGGGGACGATAAACAGCCGTGATGGAGCAGGAGCCTTCGCACGGCGCTCTGTAAGTGTCCGAGCAGATGCCGAGCACAGCACCTACCCTGCCCTGTATTCCCGTATCCCGTCCCTTGGGAGAGACTTGCTCCCGGCCCTCGCCAGCTTCCCGCTCCCGGAATAAGGGCACACACCTCCCCAACCCGAGGGGGGGAAAAAAAAAAAAAAAAAAAAAAAGCGATCACCTTCCCAGGGCAACACGGCCCAGGGAGCCCTGGGGACCCTTCCCCAGTTAGTAACGGGGACTGCGAGGGTTGGATCAGCTGGGTGAGACGCATTCCTGGGGAGAAGAGGACAGAGAGGTGCAGGGAACCCAGAGCACCAGGCGAAGCCGAGCGTGCAGGAGGCACAGAAGCAGCTCTCACGAACGGAACTTCAAAGCTGCCGGTGCCCACGGTGGTCCGGCACTCACGGCACAAACCGGCACAGCACCAAAGCTGCATCCAGGTGATGGAGCCAGAGCCCCTGGCTGGATGCTCTGCCTGACCAGCGAGTCCCCAAGCCCATGGGCCCCCTCCCCAAACAATGAGCCCTCCCCCCCCGCCAGCCTGCTCAGTGCAGCCATTCCTGGAGGAAAGGGCTAACACTTCTGCTGCCCGCTGCTGGCAGCCGTTCCCAGCTTGCAGGTTCCCCAGCACAGAGAAGGCAATTCCAGCTCAGAAACAAGCAACCTCAAGCAAGGAGAAGAGGGCGGCAAACCCGGCCCATGGGGACATGAGTGGAGCAGGTTTTCAAATGTCAGCTCTGAGCGCAAACCAGAAAATAGGAAATTAAAAGATTCCTCCCCGCTTTGTCTTGGTAAGCTATGAATTTTGGTGACCAGGTTTCCCAATTTCACCGGGTGGTGTTAACTTCTTTAGCAGCCAGTTGTGTCACGAGTGAGCGGCAGCCGAAGCCCCCCCACTGCCAGCCGAGACCCCCCTCCCCAGCACCCAGCACTGCCCGGAGAGAAGAAAGGAAAGTTTCTGTACCTCAGGACTTACTGTGTGTTTCTTAGTCATTCTCCAGAGGATGCACGTCAGGAGCATGTGGCCCAGAGCCGACGTGATAAAGACGATGAAGGCATTTTCGTGGATTGCTGAATCAACAAGACAACAAGTTTCCTGTTACATCTGAGCTAAGGGGAACGTGGGGCTGTGGGAGGACGAAGGATTGCTTTCTGCAGGACGCGGTGCTGCTGTGGGTCCCAGCATGAGCAGCGGTCTGGGGACTTTGCAGGAGACAGGCACAGCACAGCTCCGCACCCACACAGAAAATGGGAAGGGGGATTTAACCACAAAGCCGCTCGTGTGAGCCCCACAGACCTCTGTAAGCCCAGGGCTGGAGGGGGGGGATGTGAGTTCTGGAATATTCATCCTAAAGGTGCCAGGAGGGTGTTTATGTGCTCTGGCACCCGGTCTGAGAGTCGCTTCACATGGCTGTAAACCTCAGGCACCCTTGAGAGCAGCTCAGCATTACCAGTCTTGTTCTAGGGATGGGGAAACTGAGGCACAGAGGGGAGGTTTGTGGAGTGATCAAGTTCTAAATATAGGAAGGGCCATCTTCTGGCTTCCTGCGTTATCTACCTGCCAATTAACAGCTGCCATCAGCCTCACCACCAGCATCAAGGCCGTCTCCTGCATCACTGAATTAGCACAAATAAGAGGGGTCAAGCTGGAAATGCAGCCAGAGCGACACCATGCCAGAGCAGCTCACAGAACCCCGAAGCCACACACAAAGCCCATGCGTTATTTTCAGGCAAGTGCTTCAATTTAAAAGAGTTTCCCAGCCTCTTCTCCAGGAACTGAACCACAGGCTGAATCCCCAACCACCCGAGTGTAAGAAAAGATCTTCCCTGCTTCCCGCCGTGATTCCAAGGGAAGGGAAACAGCGTGAAGAGCGATGGTAGAGGTGAAGGCGTGAGCCATGTCCTGCCGAGATGGTTAACCTGAGCCTGTTCTCACCTCAGCACGGCAGCTGAGGTCTGAAACTTTCCCCACAAACCTAAGATTAGTCTGGAACAAGGATCTGAGAAAACAGGGTTAGCCTCAGCTCTCGGTATGGCTTTTGCCCAGCCGCTCTGCCGCACCTCAGTCTCCTCGCAAAGCTCCGCGCCAGCCAGGCAGAGCCATCGGCCACGAAACGCGGCACAGGCAGAGCTGTTCGGGTGACGATGGGGACTGGGGCATCCAAACCCCAAAAGAGCATCTGCTCATTTCTAAGGGCATGCTCCCTGAGGGGTTGGAGAAGCCCCATGGGCAGGTCTGTCTGCAGTCCCCTGGGCAGCTGGGGACACCGGCGGAGTGGTGACAAGCTGTCTCGCCGTGGGGGACAGGGAGAGCTGGCAGGAGACGGGGAAGGCGAGCTGGAAGGGAACATCCCCTAAACCACAGGCCTCCTTCAGCCGGAGGTTCACATCCAGCCACCCCAGGTCACTGGGCTCCGCTGCGGATCTCCACCCACACCCTAAAGAGTGTTTGATTCCGCTCATGACACTGCAGCCCTGAAACCAGCAGGCTTACTGGTGAAGACCCAGTGGAAGCCAGTGAGCACCCGGGCGGTAGGAAGCTTCACGGGAGCGCCAGCCGGCGTGCCAGCGACACGGGCTGCTCCGGGCACGGCGAGCGAGCGAGGGGCAGGGGAGCAGCAAAGCAGCAACCGCTGCGCTGCGAAAGGCAGGAGCGAAGCGAGCAATCAGCCACCTCACCGGCCCGGGGAGGGGGGGGGGGGGGTTGCTGGGGCTCCCGCTCTCCTTAGCTGCTTTTTTCGGAAAGACGCGACGTCTCCGAACACCCGCTTCGACAGGGAATCGGGACGGCGCCCGTACTGCTCCGTGCTCTGAAGGGGAAACCGTGCTCTGACAGCAGCAGCGGGATGGAGGGAGCCTCGGAAATCACCCACCCGGTCCCTCCGCGCTGGGGCTGGGCCCCTCCACCCCACAGCCACGTCCCCAGCCTTCCAGGGAGGGGGCTCCGGTGGCCACAGCCCCTTTCCAGCTCGTTGCTCTAAGCCCCCACCACATCTGCCTTCCAAGAGCTCGTTTTCCTCACCCACCGCGAGTAGGAAGATATTCTCAGCCCAAAATCAGCTGCATCCCTGCCCCTCATCCCACCTCCCTTGCTGCGAGGAGACAAACACTTTTCTGCCAACCTCCCCTCACCAGCACCGCTCCCAGCCTCCTCAGAGCTCCGGCCTCGTCTCTCTCTCTCGAGTTTGTGAGTACACCCTCCAGCGTGGCCCCACGGCCAGACACAACATCCATCATCATCATCATCATCATCAAACGGGGTGCGGGGACAGCCGACACGTGACTCTCCCGCTGCCAAGTCCCAGAACTGGGGTTGTTCCTGCTGCAACAGCACCACCTCGCTGGCTCGTGGATTCGAGTCCTCCTGAGCCAGCCCCCGGTGCCGCCTCCAGATCTCAGGATTAAACAGCGGCTGGATAATCATCACCAGCACTTAAATTCATTTCAGACGAGACTATGTGGGAGAAGAGCATTTCCCAGCCTACCGTGACCGTATTTCACACACACACTGATTTAACCTGAAAAATTCTGATTTTGTTTTCAGGTCACGGCAGGAAATTTTACCCGGACCATTTTGTGGGAGGGTGTTTAAACCGCAGCTGGAGCGTGAGCGCGGGCTGGAAACCAGCTCAGAGCCAAAGCCAAGCTCAGCGGTGGAGCCGGAGCAGATCGCAGGGACGAGCACTAACCTGCCTTTGCTCAGCTGCGGTGAGACACCGTAAGCCTGGCCTCGGCGCACGGGCGGGAACTGAGCCCTAAAGTCTGACCCTAGGCTTGAGATAAAAATCCCACCTACGGTTTCAGCCAATTATCAGCAACCAGGAATTCTGCAAAGAACACTGCTGTTTGCACATTATGGACATAATACTAATTTTTTTTTTTTTTTTTTACTATTTTTTTCTCCTCCAAACTGACTCCACAAAAATCCCACCTACGGTTTCAGCCAATTATCAGCAACCAAGAATTCTGCAAAGAACACTGCTATTTGCACATCATGGACATAACACTAATTTTACATAAATACTAATTTTCATAGAATTTTTTTTTTTTTTTACCATTTTTTTTCCCCTCCAAACTGACTCCACAAAAATCCCACCCTACGGTTTCAGCCAGTTATCAGCAACCAAGAATTTTGCAAAGAACACTGCTATTTGCACATCACGGACATAACTTTATAAATACTAATTTTAATAGAATTATTTTTTTTTTTTTTTTTTTTTTTTTTACACACTATTTTTTCCCTCCAAACTGACTCCTTCTAAAACACTGGCGTGAAGCAGAGCTCTGCAAAGCCTCGGCAGCCGCGAGCAAGACCACTGGCACGGCGGTGAGCACAGAGCGTGGGAGGAGACACCTACCATAATTTTCAGACGAGGACACGTACGTCAGAATAAGGAGGGCGAAGTTTTCAAGCAGGTTGAGCAGCAGGTTGAAGTGGCACAAGCGCGGGTAGCGGGGGTGCGAGCAGTGGCAGCTCTGGTAGTGGTTCCAGTAGGCGACTGCCACGAGGAAGCGGGGAGCCGAGTGGAGGCCGATGCAGAGACGCCAGACGTAACGCTGGGGGGTCTCGCCTCCGATCGCGGCGCTGATGGAGGGGAGGTAGTTGGGGACCTGCAAGAGAGACACCCGCTCGTGGGGAGAGGCATTGGGAGTGTGTCATATTGTCCTATTTATAGCTCTTCGAGATACTAAATTTTTTTTTTTTTTTTTTTTCCTAAATACGTTTATTCTTATTTCAAAATCCAGCAAACCTACAACAGCAGCATCCCCAGTTCACCCGCCCCAGGACCACGCAGCCCCCCAGCCCTGCTGGGACAGTCCCTGGGTGCTGGGGTGCCCCATTCCGGGTTTTAGCTTTACACTTTTGACCCTTACTCCTTCCCCTTGCTCAGTCGTGGTCCACCACGTGTTTTCTGCCCCCAAGTCTGGGGAGAGAGAAGGGTGCCTGGTTTTGTTAGCCCAGCTCTGATGGGGAGAACTGATAGCAGCAGCAGGCAAAGACCACGTTCAAGGAGGAACATAAAGGCAGGAAAAGCGCCAATGCAGCCCCGGAATAAACTCCCAACCTTGAGAATTTCACAGCTGGGAGACCTCCCGAGCCAGCTGCAGTTCCTATGTGCTGGGTAATTTGCTTTTCCATGATCCTACCCAGTCTCCCCTGGAGCCCATGCAGAACTGTGCACTCCCAGTGTCCTGTGGGGAGGTGTCCCCCATATCGGCTACTCCCAAGGCACCCAAAGAGCTGGTTCCTCAGGCAGAACCTGCCACCTCCACACGACATCCTCCACTTCTCACCCTGGCAGAGGGGTGCAGCGTATCCCTCAGCAGCCTGCCTCGCCCTCCCTGATCCAGGATTCTGGCATCGCCATCACCCTACATCACCCCACTGCGTACGGGCACGAGGAACACCACAGACCCTCCCCAAAACCCTGGAGTCATCTCCTGCTGGTATGAGGATGACTCCTGCCCTCTCTTCCCAGCTTGTAACCAGTTGCTTATCTACACTTCTGCTGTGGCTGCTTGAAAGCCCTGGGGAGTAAACCAATCTCATCCCTTTTGGAAATCCACATGGTCCCTCTCAACATGAGCTCCCCAGGCACGTGCTTGTGACTCCTCTGAAGAGCTCCAGCAGATCTGAGGGGCAGCAATTCCTTTTATAAAAGCTGGGCTAAAGTCTTCCACAAGACAATATATTTATCTGTAGCTTCACCAGTTTTATTCCTTCTCATAATCACCACCAATGCGCTCAGTACAGGCATCAGCCTGACCAGTCTGCACTTCCCCAGGTCCCTTTTAAAAAGCCAAAACCTCAATTGCCAGTCCCAAGGCATCACAAGTACAACAAAATAAAGCAGCTTGTTCAAGATCCTGTAATACTTCTGGTAGGAAAGCCCAGAAGAAGAGAGGAGCCCTGCCACTCCGCCAGCTGCCCCAGCCGAGCAGCCGTGACCCTGGAGGGTATTTTGCTGATGAGTCGCTTACCCCGCAATGGGTCGCGGTCGTCTCTTGGAAATGGAAGAGCAGAGACCAGATTACACAGAAAAGAAAGCCAAAGAGTGGGCAAAACACAGTCCCAACGGCCAGCGTGGTAAAACGGAGCCGGAAGAGGATCCCATCTCGATCCAGGGGCAGCGGTACCTGTAACATCTTGATGGACCTGAAAACAAAACAAACAAGCAAATGTTTGCTGGGGAATGTCTGTCCTCCTGCGAAGTCCAGTCCCAAACAGCCCTGGATGGGGACACACACATTCAGAGACGGCCTCTCACACCCGTGTTTAACGGGACAGGCAGCCAAAAGCACCGTTCTGGAGACGCAGGAAGCCCGAGACTCACGTACAACAGCGAGCAGGGTCAGAGCAGCATGCCGGGGAGGAGCGGGCAGCGGGCCATCCCGCGCCGCTGATGGGGCTGGAAGGGCACGTCAGCTCTTTTTCGGCGGGGCACGTCTATCTAGACCTTTCCTGGGCTGTGCCCGGAGCTGCCGCACAGGACGGGACAAGGGGTTTATCAAGCCCGGCCGCTCGCTCAGGGCTCTCCAGCTCAGTCTCAACACTCGCTGGCTGCGATCTCCCCGCTCAGCCATGGCTGCACACCCTTCAACCTTCCCCTTGGCAGCAGCCCAGACTGCCAGGGTTAAACCTGAGCTAAACCAGTCCTAACCATCACACGTATCTTCCTTCAGGCTCTCCTCCCGCCGCGCCTGGCCCCAACCTCTGTGTCCCAGACAGCCCCCTCCCCTGCCCGGGGGGGGGACAAGGGCCACCCAGCAGCCCAAACACTGGGCTGCCGACATTCTGCCCCCTGAGCGAGCAGTTCCGGACCCCGGCCCTCGCCTCACACATCGCTCAGGATAAATCCGATTTATAAGCGATCCCGCAGAAGCCAGTTTAGCAGTGAGGGCTGGAGTGTGGGCAGCTGCCCCCGTGCCCACCCCAGCAGCGAAGGGCTGTGGAAAACACAGCTCAGCCCCCACCCCCCTCACCACCCCCCCGTGGGGGCTGTGCTGCTGCGGTTGGGGGGGAACGTGGATTTATTTGCAGGCGGAAAGCAAAGCACAAGGGCAGCTCCACCGTGGTTCTGCTGGAGGCCAAGGAGGTGGGGAGTGGGATCCCAGCCCACACTCATGTCCCTGGGATGTGTGTCCCCCCCCAACCCCCCCCCAGGAGTGACCCCAGCCCCGAGGGGATGGCTCTGGAAGGCAGGGCTGTCTGAGGCAGCCAAGAGCAATGCTGGGATTGGGGGGGGGGGGGTCCCTGGCACCCTGCACCTCCCTCCCTTGGGGACACACCGAGCATCGCCTGGTGGGAATGTCTGAGGCGTGTCCGCCCTCGGGAGTGGGGGGGACACAAACAGATGGTGCCCCCGCCATCCCCAAAGGGAGCCCCCATTAGCTTCTGCCCCCCCCCCCCCAAGGGTCTTGCCCAAAGGGCACAAATAAAAACGCCAATTTTCTGTGTCACACGCCGAAGGGCCCCCAGCACCCCACATAGCCCAGAGACCCCCTGAAACCCTCCCCGGGCACCCCAAACCCCCCCAGAGACACCCCTCCCCGGGCCAGACTCCTCCTGAGCCCCCCCCCGCCCCGGGCACGCCACATCCCCCTCAGACATCTCACAGTGCTGTGGCCCCTCCAGCTACCCCACACCCACCACAAACATCCTCCCCCCCCCAACCCCCCTAGCTACCCCGCACCCCCACCACAGATATCACCCTCCCGCACTGGGAACCCCAAACCCCCCAGACAGCCCCCTCGGGGGCCCCACATCCCCCCCAGAGACAACCCCCCGGGGATCTCACAGTGTTGTGACCTTTCCGGGCACCCCAAACCCCCCAGACACCCCTCTCGGGGTCCCCACATCCCCCCCAGAGACACACCCCCCCCCCCCCTCGGGATCCCACAGTGCTGTGACCCCTCCGGGTACCCCACACCGCCCACGAGCATCCTCCCCCCAGCTACCCCACCCCCTCCCTACATACATCACCCCCCCCCGGCACCCCAAACCCCCCAGACACCCCTTGGGGCACCCCAACCAGCCCCCCCGAGACCCTTCCCGGGCACCCCCGAGCCACTCCCTCAGACACCTCACTGCTCCCTGAGCCCCCGAGAACTGCGCCCCCCCAACCACCCCCCCAGCCCCCCCGCACCGCTCAGCCCCCGCCGCACAGCTCCATGCCCCGGCCCAGCACCGGCACGCCGCCGCCCCCTTCTTCTTGTTCCTGTTCCTCCTCCTCCTCCTCCTCTTCCTCTTCCTCTTCCTCCCGCCCCTTCCTCGCCCCTTCCTCGCCCCCTCCCCCCAAAAAGCGCCCCCTACCGACCAACCCTTCTCACCTCCTCCTCCCGGTCCCTTTAAGGCTCCTCGGCCCCGCCCCCTTGCGCCTCGCTCGCGTCAGCGCTCGCACGCCGTCGGATTGGGCCGGTCGGAGGAAGAAGTCCCGCCTCCCATACCCCGGATGTCGGGGGGGCGGGGTTACCGTCCGCGCCTTTCTGGACCCTTCTGCAGCGCCAGCCGCGTTCGGGCCAATGGGCGCTCGGGGCGCAGTGGACGTCACTCTCCCCTTTGCCCAGTCAGCGAGACGCAGTCATTTACACCCGTAGTCGGGGGGGGGGGGGGGAGGGGCGCAGCCTCGCTTTCAAAGGGCGACAGCCAATGAGCGGCTGGCGCGTCGTGGGTGGGGCTAGCCAATCGGGCTGGCGGGCGGCGGGTTGCGGGGGAGGTTGGGAGGCGCGCGGAGTGGATTGTGACGCATTCCCCCTCTGAGGCGGCGGCGAGCCCCGGCCCGGCCCGGCCTGGCCCGGCCCGGCCGCTCCTGCCCCGGGCACCGGCGGTGAGCACCGGCACGGCTCAGCGCTTCGCGGGGGCGCCTCTGCCGCCTTTCTTTTCCCGTACTCCGGGAGAGCGGGCCGGCCTGGGGCTGAGGGAGAGGTTGGTTGGTTGCGGGGGGGGGGGGGGGGTGGTGGGAGTGGGGCCGGTTTGAGAGGCCCGGAGCGGGGGGAATGGGGGGGTGGGTGAGCGTTGAGGGTGGGGAAAGGGGTGTACGGGAGCCCGCCGCGCCTGCCCCTCGTGGGAGGGGGGTCCCTGTGGGTACATGGGGAGATAATCCCCCCCCCCCCCCATCGTGTTTTTGGGCGCTTTCGGTTTATCGTTTCGGGGTCTTGGCGGAGCTGCCGGGTTGATCTGGGGAGAGCGGGGGATGGGATGGGATGGCGCGGGAGAGACGGTAACGCTGTGAGGGGGGTTTGGGGGGGACGCAGGAAGCAGCGAGGGGGAACAGTGGGCCCGTCTCCAGGGTCTTCGCTGCTGGGGGTGTCTGGGGATGTAAAGGCTAGGCTGCTGTCAGGGGGAGTTACTGGAAGTTATGTTAATGAATTAATTAAATTTCTGCGGGTGGAGGTTTATGTAATGTTACTGTAAAACTGTAAATAGAGCCCGTTCCTTCAGGAGTGAGGGGATGGCTCCTCTTCAGCTGGGGATGGAGTTCGGCGAGGGGCAGAGGACTGTTGCATAAAAAAATTCCTGACTTTTATAAATTCTGCTCCAGCTCTTTAGTTCTCTGGTGTCCCTGCCATCAGCGGCTCTGAGCGTGTTTTCGTGGGACAGCTCTGAGCCCCTTTGGTTAACACAACATTTCCCACGTGCGGGCTGTGCGGTCGGGAGCCCGTGGTCTGCCTGCGGTGTCCCCCTGCTCCTGGCCTGGGTTCAGGGGGCTCTGGCACGTCCGCAGCATCAGGGACCACCTAAAGCCCAAGGTCTGTTTTGGCTGAACCTGAGCTGCTGAGGGTCAGTAGGTAAGGAAGGGTGGGTGTCAAAGGAAGGGGGAGTGACATTTTAATAACTTGTTGGCGTTATTGAAAATAGGCTTCGGATTTATTCTGAAATAGAATTTGGTGTTTAACGATCCTTAGTACGCTGAGCTTGAAAAAGCAGTTGCATAAATAAGGGCGACAGGGAAAGAAGAGGGGCTTTATGATTTGAGAATGAGGTTGAGAGTAGCAAGATTAAACGAGAGCTGAAAAGTGCGTGGACCCTTTGTACCTGGCCTTCGGGAGACTTGCTTAGGGACAAAGCAAAGGTTGGATTTTGAGGAAGCAAACAGGAGGTGGGTCTGCGTTTTTGTCGTGTGATCCAAAACCACTTTCTGTTGGAAAACAAAAAGCATCCTCGGCACCGCAAAGGCGAGGTGCTAAAGGATGAGTTGGAGGTGCAGCTGGGCAGTGTGTGTGGTACGGGGAGTTGGGGAGCAGGCTCTTGGCAGGGTTGTGGGATGCAGCGTTGCCCTGTGTCTCACAGAAGAATCCCGTTGTGTGGCAGACAGCTCTAGGCTTAAGGTGCTCTGACAATTTCTCAGATCAGCTTTTCATTTGTTATACCAGAATCATTTTATTTGAAGTACTCTTAAAGTGCATGAGAAAGTCCATAAGGACTTGCATGTGTGAGTGGGAAGACTTGTCACAAGATTGTGATGTACCTGCTGTTCTGAATAGTTGAAGATTACCCAAAACATCTGTTTAGTTGCTCTTTAACATAGGTGTCAGGTACTACTCTGCTCTTGGAGTGTTCTAGTTTCCAGTAGTGCTGGGATGGCTGCAGGGGTATGGTGGGTACCTATGACTGTTCAAAATCTAGATTTGACTGTTCCCAGAAGGTGGTATGGTTTGGAAGGAAAACAAATACATATGATTCTGCAGAGAAGCTGTCAAACCTGGGCAGAGGTAAAGGTGTGGGGTTTGAGTTTAACTTAAGTTGTTGCCAGCCAAATGGAGAATACCTGATAGGAGTTTATTGTTATCCTGGATGTTGAGCCTCCTGGAAAACCTAAACGAAGTTTTAAAAATGCCAAAATGCTAAAAGTTAGTGTGTTGGTACATAAAACTGTTATCCTAATGTGATAGTAAGTAGTACTTTGTAAACATCCTTAGTATGGGCCATGTCTTAGTTTTCTAAACTTATTAGTTCTGTGCTGATGTGGATTAGTTAATGCTGCCAACAATGGATTTTTTTTTTTTCCTGGATAATATTGGCACTTTCAATGGTAGAGCTAACAGGTGTTAGCCCCAATACAGGAAAAGACTACACATTTCTCTGGAGTATGGCTAAGGATCTTTCATGATTTTATTTTAACTTGGTTGGTTTTGTTGAAAAAAAACTGTAACACTGTGTTTGTACTTGGAGAAGAGATTGGGGTGAGGCTGCATTACTAAATGTATCTGTAAATAAAATGACGGGTGTTGTAAAGGTAAATTGGGCCCCTGCCTAAAATGGGGTAAAACTCCCCTGAACAAGTATTTAAAAACAACTTTTAGAAAGTTAATATCCCAGTGCAGCCCCGTGAGCAATAGATGGGAAGCAGATGGAAGGTGTATTGCTGTCATTCTTGTGCAGTGCATTTCCACTTGTCTTGTTTGAAGTAGTTAGCAAACAGGGTTTAACTGAAAATCAGTCCTGGAAAATCCTGGGGGTGTCACAGGAACAGCTGTGGCATGGTGTGGATCCCGGTGTGCGTGCTCAGAGAAGCATCCCACTGGGGTTGTCTTCCAGGTGTTGGGGGGGCTGAGCAAAAACGAGTTTATGTTGCCCGATGTGGCTCAAATGTGGTAGAAAGAGATGTGGGAAGCGCTGTTAGTGTCAGATGTTCTGGAGGGTTTTGTTGAGAACACAGGGGTCGGGGGAGTAGTTTAATTTATTAGTTTTTTTCAGTGTGTAAGACATACAGAAAATCTAGCTGTAACTAAGGGTGGAAGGCAGGTTACTTGTCATTAAAGTAGTAGTGTTCCTGTCCCTTTTAGTGTTCTGACAGTGTTTTAAATTGCTTAGTGTGACTTAAACATGCTGTCGTGCGTTTTATGGCCTAATTACTCAAATTAGATTGCTTACATCAACAACAGGGAAGATGAAAAATGAGTTCTCAAGATAACCTTTAAATAAAAGCTGAAATCTTCTTTCCAGGTTTAGGGGAGAATCCTGA